ATAAATAATAATATAATATTCAGAAAATTCTAATAAATGAACGGGGCGCTACACTATGGTCTTAAACCCAATACTGTAATTATATTAATAGATTTATTTATACTGTATTTGCTATTTCATGTTGATCATTCTATCCTGTAAGTATAGTATATTGATCATGTGTCTTTCTCTCTTTTTTTTTTTTGTTAAGAATCCACACTTCTGCCACCAGTGATAGATGATGAAAATGTATGTGAAGATGTTGATTTGGAGTCTCTAGGACTAGAATGCGATGAATATCAAATTTCAAAGAGTGCAAATAGATCTGGGCCTACACCTCACCCCAACAATTGCAAATGTCCCAGGAAAAAAGTCAAAGATTGTGATTGTAATATGAAGGGTGTATTTTGTGTTAATCAAAACTTTGTTACCTTTTATAAATTGATCAAAATTTTATGTTGATCAAATTATGTTTCATGGAGGCATGATGTTTGTGGTAATTGGCTGGTGATGGCTTTGTAGATGATGATACATCTTTTGGTTGATCATTGTATTGGCTTAGAAGGTTGACATTAGGAAGCGAACATTTGTTACCTTTTGGTTGATGATTGCTTTATAAATGATAGTACTGATATAGTTTTGTCTTACAATGTTAAAATTAGCAAGTTAAACTTTGTTACCTTTTGGTTGATGAATGTTTTAGTAAATGATTGTAATTTTTTTTTTTGGTTGGTTGATTGTTGTTTTAGAGGCTGAAGTACCAAGAATTTAAGTTTGATGGTTGTTTCATTCTTAAGTACCATGTTCTAATTCCATCTTTTGGTTTTCATTTAGTAATATGTAGCTTTGCATTCTTAAGATACTTGATGCTGGTTTTGTTGGCGTAAGTACCACTTTCTCAAATCAGTTTTTTTTATTTTGCATTCTATGTAAACAACTTAAATTTAATAAAGTTGAACTCCTGGTAAACACAAGGAACTGAAAAACATAACTTCATGGAAGTTACAAAATCTTGGTAACAACTCTTGGTAAATACTTTACAAAATCAGTGCAATTTTCAATAGTTCACCACTGCACAATACACCACATCCTAAACCAACTTTCAGTTCAAACCACTACACACCAACAAAGTGCACATTACAATACATTCTAATCAAACTATTAGTTCAAACCACTACATATCAACAAAGCTCAAACCAACAAAGCACACTATTTGAATTCCAACCAATAATAAACCAACTTTCTAAACAAGCATTTTCAAATGACTAGAACCATTGACTTGGTTCTTTTAAAACAAGTACAAGTACATAGATACAACTCCAACAATTAAACAAAATGTAGTCTTTGAGTTCCTCTGCAACTTCAAGTGCAACCTTTTGTTCTCTAAAACCAATATTTTTTTTATCCTTCAATTTAGAACTTGCCTTTCGCAATTTTAATTCTGAGAATGCAGTTCATTTGATTTTCGTAGGAGTCCAGGAATAATTTGCTTCGATCGTTTGCACATTGGTGGATCAGCCCAAGAAAAGAACTTGCAAGCTCCGTTTTTATTTTACCAAAGAAAAAAATACAATTTGTCAACATGTACAAAAAAATTAAGAACAAAGAAAAATTAGACATTATCTGTATTCATGGCAGGAATGAAAACGGCGACAAGGATTTTCGATGATCCAAGAGGTGCGTATGACTGAGCTCTTACGGTAATGGCAATAGCACTCATAGTTAACATGGGAGCTCTCGGACATGATGAGAATTTTGAGTACGTAGAATTGGGGAAGAAAATAGGACTACGAGTTTTTGTTTCAAATTTTTCCTTCTTGTGATGTTTCTCTGATTTTAATACCCGGTCATTCCACGTGTTTTTCTTATTATTTTTTTTTTATTTTTTTCATTTTCCACGTGCACAACAGCCTGCCAACTCACATAAATTGGCCGGAAAATGAAGCAAGTGAAGGTCACGTGCTTTATACGGCGAGAAGGACTGAAATTGCACGAAACTTTTAAATCATATGATTAAAATGCAAAAAGTTCAAACCTCAAGACTAAAATTGCTACAAGTTCAAATCAACAGCACCAAAATTGCAATTTTGCCTCCAAACTATTCATGGATATGTAAATTAGCCTGTTTTTTTGTTTATGTTCTTTAGGCTTTTATTAGGTTTACTTAATGGAGTTGGGCTTGCAAATTACATTTATAATAATCATGGTAAATTTCATATTTAAAATGTTGATATATTTATATAAAAATTTGAACATTAATGAGAATTAGTTTTGAATATATCAATTTGATAACTTTCTTGATTAACTAAATTTGTACTTTTGAATTGAGCAGCGCAGCACTGCTTTTCTCCACCTAAGTCTCTCTACTTGCTAGAATTTTTTAGAATTTTATCATTTTTTTCTTTCAACTGTTGAATTGACCTGATTTGATTTCTTTTAAAATTAAAGCTGCCAAAATAGTGGAAAACAAATATTATTCTGATAGAAAGTGTAGTGCCACATCGAAAAATAAGTAATTTGAACAAAAATAAAAAAAGTGCTCCAATGCAAATAAAGCTAGATATTGGTTGGGACTTGGGAGTTCATCTTTGTTTGTCAAGTGTATAGATAACTAATGTTTCAATCTATTTCTTTCTTGTGAGTGGAAACTTTACACAAAACAGCCCTTAAGTGTCAACAATACTGAAACCTTGCTGTCTATATCAAATATAAAGTAGCTTTTTTGGAACATGTACTGCGATAGAAAATCTATTGTGATGTATAACTTTGCTTGCATATTCTTCTATTGACCGATTGGTTTATGACAAACATTTAACACAATAATGACATACAACTAACATGCTAACTGATTGATGGCAAGAGTCACCATGGAAGGGGAATCAAATGTCAAAATCTCCATCAGAGGTACTTCACCAGCCACTCCAAGCTCTGTCAAACAAGAACAATCAGGACAGCTGCAAAACGCAAAGGCTACAGAAAACTGCAAATTTCCGATTATTCGTATGTTTTGTTTCAACTAACAAGTGAAAAACTCGAGTTAATTATTCGGCCAAAGTCTTGCACAGAAAAGAGAAAAAAAGACTTTGAAGCAGGAAAGAAGTCTAGCGAGTAAAGCAATGGCAAATACCTTTATGCATTCAGGTAAATCAGTGTCCTTGTTTCTGGCATGAATCTGCATTATTAAGTTGGTAGGTTTCGTAAAAATCAAATCAGTAACACAGTTTAATATTTTCATCCAAATTCAGTCACTTATTGAAGTTCATTGCACAAATATTCCAGTAGCTGTATTATTTTGCAGAAAAGTAACTGAGAACGTAAATGCGTACAGATGCAACGACGTGGCAGGATGCATCCTGATTTGTAGCGATGGAAGCAAGAACAACGAGTCCAGCTGCAACAGTTGACGGCCAATAGCACAGCTGCTCGTCTCCCATAAGCGTGAGTACGGCTAGGTATTTGGCTGTCTGATCCAACTTCTCGTTACCTCTTGCTGCTTTAAGGTAGAACCTGGACGCATTCACCACCACTTCACATAATGGTACACACACCCACTAAATAGGGGAGATACTATACCTGACACGACATAATTTGAAGTTGTACCACAAGAAATTGTACAAGGTTGGCCGACAGCATTCGAAGTTAAGGACTTCCTGCACTACCCACTCCATAGCCACAACCTCGCTCCTTGAATATATTGTGCCTCCCACATCAAATGTCATTCTACGTATGCTGAGGCAAAATTTATTAAGCTAGTTAGAGATTGCTCTCCATGCCGGACCGTTATATGAAATATTACTGAAAGCAGTGAAGAAGCTAGCTGATCACTGTATAATCTTGAAATCATTGCTTTATTATTTTCAACATTCTGGATCCATGCATCTATCGCGGGCACATATGTAGACAGTTTTCACATGTTCACTTTTGGGATATACATTTCATGAATACACAATATGCTAGTAATTAATTGGCCAAGAGTGCAAAAAAAATATTGGTTCAAAAGACTATCCTATCGGTTTATTGCTAAAGCATATCCTCTTGGGGGTTTAGTTTAGTTACAAAAATGTTACTACCGAGCTTTAGTTTCTTTCTGCAATTTGTAGCCCCAATATGAAAGTTCTATTAGACAAATTCAAACAAGGATGAGTTATATTCATTTAACGAATACAGAGGACTTATACACTTGACCATCTTATTTTCAAAAAAATTTAAAATGTCAATATCATTACCAGTTGTAGGGTTGATTTTCCTCAATCCTGGTCGCCAGAGTTAGACAAGCGATGCCAGCAATCTGCAGATTTCTCACATTTTCAAAGTATCCTTTGCTCAGAAATCTATCAAAAATATTGACTCCTAAAAACATGGTTTCCTTTTGGAGCTCCTTGCTGTTGGCTTCCTGCATGGACATATCTCGAATTTAGTATGATTGAAGTATTAATATCATAGAATAGTTAAAATCTAAAACCACTCGAATTTTCTGAAAAAACCACAAGCAGAAGGCTGATGTCCATCCATTTCCAATCATTTTTACAAACAAATTTCAGTCTTCTAATTTCACCTGTCATCCTTTATTGTTATCTCCAAATCAAACAAGCTTATTGAAAATCATTACCATAATTTTCAATAGTTGGAAAAAGAAAGAAAACAAAAGAGTAGGGAGAAGTGTTAACAAGGCAGAATGGGCTGTGGATCATATTGCCTGCCAACAAAATTATTCACATAAGACAACAGCGTTTAATATTCATATCTTTGGAGAAACTAAAAGATTTTCGTATGAATAATGTCTCTCATTGATCAACCTATCTTAGTAAGGCTATAATGGTGCACGTTCACATGGTACGAAATCTTTCATTATCACACTAGACAACCTATTTCACTCCATATTTTGGTTTTCAGGTATTCTGACTACGTTATCAATTACCATTAAGTCTTTCACAATTTGAAATTGCACTAGTCCACGAAAAGAAAAGATAGCACTCGAAAGAAGCATAATATTATTCAGTCTGACCTCAATAATCCATTGGACCATACGAAGGCGCTGTTGAATAACAAGTTTGCCATAGGCAGTGCCAAAACTGTACTCCCCAGCATAGTCGTGCACATACTCCTGTCTCCTCTCTCTTTTCCACATCATCCTGTAGCTCTCTTTATCTTGTTCATCTTCTAGTCCCATTACCTTAATTCACAAACACAATGCACCAAATTTCTGGTTTAGTTCGCTGTTTACGCCTCTGAATTTTGTAGTCACAGACACAGATATACAAACACAACAAATAGAGCACTCAAAGAACCAAGTTCACAGAGCATTTCAGGAAATTATGAAAAGGCCTCCAATCATATTTAATGTTTAATACAGGTGCACATAGACATCAGCAAACACACCACGGTTAATTTATAGATATTACTAACTACATACTACCAGCTTACATAGAAACAGAATTCTCCAAAGAACTCACATATATTTCATGAGGATTTTGATCGTCGAAGACTTTTAACGAAATGGTTGATTTGCAGAACTGCTCTTTCAACTGCTTGAACAATTCAAAAGTAGGCGAATAACTCCCTTCTCCTCCGATCAAATTATCAGAAAATTGACTTCCAGAATTGTAACTCCACAAGGACGGCGTATACTCTGAACTTCCAAACTCTGAATCCGAAATTCCATAGAAAATATCCGATGACGAGGAACTGTAGACCTCTTCCTCACTAACGTCTATAACCCCGCCGCTAGAGAACTGCTCCGAGCAAGCCAGATCAATATCCAACGGGGCGAGCTCCGAAAGTCGCAGCTCTTCGGATACTGCTCCGTCTTCAGTGATTTTGACCTTTTTCTCGTCGGAATTAAGTGCTTCCCTGCGACTTTCAAGCGAGTTGCCTTTCTCAGCCTCCGGATTTGAGATCTCTTGACGGAAAATTTTCTGAACAGCCGGAATCGCGAGCACGAACTCATGCTGGGTAACTTCAGATGTCTCGTCTTCCTTCACTTTATGCGCGTAGATCTCGGATAATGAACGCCGTGGAGCACTGGAAACTTCAGATTTCTCGAACACTCCACTTCCAGAGTCTAATTCCTCCACATCATTGTTCTTCAGCTTCAAACCTCCGTTCGCTCCCGAGCAAGACTCCACGCATGAAATATCCGACAACTCCGGCGCCTGATTGCAGTGTTCGCTCGCATTTTTGAACCTCTTCCGGTAGTACGACCGCGTAACGACTCTCGGAAGCTCAATTCGGAACTCCGGCTGATTCTGGTTGCCGACGGAGGCGATGCTGGAATCGCACGAGACCTCGGTCAACGCGGTGAAAAGCGAATCGGAGCCGGAAAATTGAACTATAGGAGAGATGCGAGTCCGCCGGCGGCGGTTGAGCTTTGAACGCTGCTTTTTCATGAAATTGAGCGACTGCTCTTCCGCCGATGATGCATCGACTACTTCAGCAGTCTGTGATTTGAGCTTGCGCTTCATTGGTGAACAAGGAACAACGAAGGGGTTTGGAAATGAAAAGTGGCGTGAACTCGAATTGGAGAGGTTCCTCAGATTTTTGGCGTTGTGCGTGAGCGAGCAGTGTGAGTCGACGGTTGAGGAACGTTGAGGACGAGGCGTATTTATACGATGCAGTTATGGAGGTACCACGTGACTGTGAACCTGAAAGTGATATATAACGTGTGGAGTTGGTTAAGATTATTTCGATTTGCAAAAGTATAATTAGCTTTTTGTTTGTGTTGATAAGCATTGTAAAAATAATAATAATAATAATAATAATAATAATCGAGTTTTTTACATAAGTTTCATTGATAGTTTTTCAATTATGTTGTTAAATCCAATCAATTTTATTGAATCCTTTTATCATATCAACCATTTACAGCCATCAATTATAAATTATCGGTTATAAACAAAAAATTCAATTATAAACTATCAAGAAACTTATCAACTATGTTTATCAAACATAATTCAGGTAGACTACGACTCTAATGTGAGGTGGTGTTATTAATAAAAGCAATGTTTTAACTTCCGAGTTTGAACTATTTTTCTTTTATTAATAATATTCGTTTTTAGTTTTCGACCCCAGTTATTAAGTTATTCAGTTCTAAGTTCGACTTTGAGTCGAGAGTATACACATGGGTGGATCCTTTAAGGGATCGGGCCTAGGCCTGAATTTTTCATGAATTTTTTTATAGAGTATATAATAATATATAATTTACACATTAATGGGTAGCGTATTAGGGAAGATATAATAAACAATACAAATGATACTCTCTGGCCTAGTGTTTCTCTTCATAATCAATTTTTTTATTTTTTATTTTTATTTTTTGATAATCAACTCTATTTATGTTATTTTGGTTGGATATGAACTTCATATATACCTGCTTAATTACTATATGTACCTTATAGTAAGAAGAACAAATTAACAAATATTTCTTATGTGTGTTAGTTCATTCTCGTATGTTAATTTTATTTTAAAATTTTTAATCGAATTAATATTTTGTATAAAAATATACTTCCACATAAATCACTTTAATTTATATTTATGATTTTAATAGTTAATCTACTATTATAGAAATTAAACAAAAGAAAGGGAGAACATCAATGGGATTTAAGATTTATTTTTTTTTGTTTATTTTCATTCCATCACGATTTGTCTTGTTAAACCTACGAAAATATCAATAAAATCAATAAAAATATTTTTTCATAAAAAATATCAATTCACTGGCATACTTCTACCTAGCATTGATTCACAATTTTAATTATTATTTTTTTTTATCTTATATTCATTACAATCATATATATAAAATCCCTTTTTTTTCATTTCTATTTTTAGATAAGAAAAGATTTTTGAATCTGTACAATCTGCATTTTATTTTATAATTAAGATGGTTAGTTCCAAAACACATTTAGGCCCCCACTCATTCAAATTTCTAGATCCGCCCCTGAGTATACTTGGTTTAAATTTTATTTAGTAACCGAGTCAATTTTATTAATTAATTCCGGTCTGTCTATTTTATAAATGGACATTAATAATTTTTTATTAGTCGGGATTAGTTATTTCAAATCGACATAAGTCGAGAAAATTCGAGAAATTGTCGAAGTCGAGCTGCTATCGGAACCGAGCAAGTCCGGCCGTGTGCACCGCGCCTATTCATGCCGAGCCAAAATCTTAGCTTAGGCCTAATTGAATTTTTCCATCCATTTTGTGAAATTAGCCACCTTGCATGGCTGATAGTTTATCCTAAGGACACATGGTTAGTAAGCTTAAGTTAAGGACACATGTCCTTAAGAGATTTAAAGGAAAAATCTTTTGTCTCCACATTATAACCCATAAATAGCATCACATTAGTGGAGGGGAGTATTACTTGATATTCTCTTAGCATTTCATAAAAATTCACTCCTTCATTTATCAAAGAAAACCGAGAGTGGAAAAGAGAATTTAAGAGAAAATTTCCCACTTTCTATTAACTACTCCACCTATATATATAGCCTTGCATGAGAGTGGAGAGGAGTTTATCTTATGTTACTTAGCATACTTCATAAATTCTCCACTTTTAGCCATATATTGAGTGAAGGTCGAGAGGAAGGAAGCCACCAGATTCGTGCGCAGTGCGCCCGTCCGAGAGCATTTGGCCCAACGAGTGCACGCGCCCAATGAGTGCGACGCACTCGGCCTTAACGCACGCCGACATTGCCGACAGTGTCTAGCCAGTTAGCGAATCGGTGGTTCGAGTATTTATCGGTATATATATTTCGGTCCGAATTATTCCAAAATTTTAGTATTTTTCCGAGCCGAATCAGTTCAGTTTAGCTATAGTAGTTATTTTCGTCCTTAGTATAATTTTATCGAATATTTAGAATGTTATATTTAATCTGGATAAATTATAGTTAGAACCGATCATCATAGCATATAATTGAGTATTATTAGCATAGTACTTACTATTTGTTTGCTTATATTTTTGTGTAGCTTGAGGAGTCAGCTATTCAGTCCAGCATTTACATTATCAGTACCAGCAGTACAGATGGGGACCCAGCCTGAGTATTACATTGAGTATAATTACAGATACAATGTCTGAGGTATGTATATATATATATATTATCTGCTTAGGGTGGAGGCCAGTTTCCTTAATATGCCATCTTAGGTTCTGGTAGAGGCCAGTTGCCTTAATACTCCATCAGACTGTGCACATGGTTACCGGCCACAATGTCCGGGAGACAGTATGGTTTCAGTTTCTGTTTCAGTTAAATTTTATATATATGCCGACGATCATGATATGGTTATTATTATCACTGTTTACTTTAGTATGAGTTTCTACAGAGCACCGTTGACCTTTATGCTCATGCCCCACTGCTTTATTTTTTTTTTCAGATGACAGGGCAAGAGGCATGAGATCAGCTATGGTGGTTGTGGTCGTGGACTCGACCCAGTTTGTTGTTTTGTGGGATTATGTATATATATCAGTTCGTATATCATTATGCCACGAGTTTATTCCGTTGTATGTTTAGATTCTATTTTGGGAACTTGCATGCCAATATTTTCATATTTAACCCAATCCCCTAGTGTGATTTGGGTTCAATAATATATGCTTGTTCGATTAAATAATTTATACTCTGTTTTCTTTATGTTTAAACTAGTAGTTAGACCAAGTTTAAAGAAAACAAGTTTTCAGTATAAGCAGTTTTATAGTAGCATCTCAAGTTCAGTTAAATGATTTCTAAAATTTATAAGTATTTTTTGAAATAGAATTTGCGAAAAATTTACTCTGATAATAATAAGAAAGCGAGGTATTACAATTGGTATCAGAGCACAATTTATGTATCTGAATACTATAGTGAGTCAGAAAATTGTAGAAAAACCAACTACACCACGCTCACGCCTCGCCGACTACCAAGTAAGTGCTGAAGAAAATTATATTTCTAAGCAAATTTCTAAGTCTATACTCAGTAGGATGTCAGATATTCAACCTTAGAAATCAGTTTAGATGCTCAGATCAGTAATAGCGATTTCTTTAGAGGCATAAGATCTATTGTCCAATAAGAGCGATAATTCTAGTTCAAACTAGTTTAATTGAGTTAAATTTTAGCAACTCGTCAAGAAATTTGTGATGTATCAAGAATTTAGCGCGTTTTTAGTTGTGCTATTTCAACTTCTTTTATGATTAAGATGTGCGTTGACTATTCAGATGCCACCATGTAGAGATCCAGAATATCATGAGATGCACTAGTCGGCCGTGGTCGCCCAGTTCCGCAGTTAGAATTCCGAGAAGTTTTCGGGACAGGGAGATCTTCGACTGGTGGATAAATGGATCCAGGGCATTGATATGATTTTCGAGGTCATGGATTGTACTGAGCAGCACCGTATTCTCTGTGCACAGTTTCAGATGGCGAGAGATGCTCGTCTATAGTGGAATTCTTACAGGGGTATGCTCCCTGTTGAGAAGGAGAACCTTACCTGAGCTCAGTTCAAAGAGCTACTGCGAGGTAAGTACTACCCGGCTTATTACCGGGTAGAGATGGAGCACCAGTTCTTGGCATTAAAGCAGGGTACCAGGATGGTAGATGAGTACGAGCGCAAGTTCACTCGCCTCAGATTCTTCGTTACCTACATGGTAGATACGGATGAGAAGAGGTCGAGTCGTTTCGTGACGGGCTCTGAGCAGAGATCCGCCACAACTTAGCCGAACATGTTACCCTGTCTTATGCTTAGACAGTTGCCCGCACCCAGAAGATAGACGCCAGTTTTCGGAGGGAGGTCGGTCGAGTTCAGAGTCAGCCAGTCGTTTAGTCAGTTGTTCAGCCTCTAGCACTGCCAGCAGCACAACCAGCGCCTATCCACCAGGCGAAGAACAAGAACAAGAGAAAGTGGCGAGTGCAGCAGAATGACCCGAGGAACAAACATAGGCGACCAGGTCCAACCACTCAGCAACAGATTCCCGCATGTGGCACCTGTAGACGTTCTCACCGAGGAGAGTGTCTTGCCGGTCAGAATGTTTGCTATCATTGTCGGAGGCCTGGACATGCCATCCGAAACTGCCCAGATAGAGTGCAGCAGCAGCAGCCGCAACAGCAGCCCCATCAGCAACCTCAGAGATAACCACACCAGCAGAGGAGAGGAGGACGACAGACTCAGGTGTATGCTGTGGACCAGGCAGAGGTGGAGCATAACCCATGTACTATGTCTAGGATGATTATTTTGCATGATGTACCTATTTTTGCTCTGTTCGACACTGAGGCGACGTATTCTTTTGTATCAACCTGATGTCTAGAGGCCGTTGGAGTTTAACCAATCAATTTTTGCACTGTTGACCCTCTTTTGGTGAGTCTAGCCTCGGGAAGGAAGATATTGACTAGCTCTAATGTCGAGAATCTTAGTCTTTGTGTCGGCGGCCAAATCTTAGAGGCGATGCGTATGTTATCGAGATGAGGAATTTTGACCTCATACTCGGTATGGATTGGTTAACTCGTTACCGTGCAAATAT